AAAGTATATCACGGGTAAGTAAAAGTAGGAAAAATGGCCAGATGCGGGCTCACTTCACCGTATGACTATGTTGATCTATCACACACGGTAAAAATCAAACCAATCGTCGCATCAGAGATCGTGATGTCAAAGAGTTGTCATTCTTTGTGGTGGTGGTGGTGATGGTGGACATCTGTTCTATCGCCCGGCTCACTACCATGCCCAAACTATTGAGACCTTACGCGACCTAGCATTTCGAATGTCAGGGTTGAGAGTTACCGGTTTTCAATCTCTCAGCATACACGACCAAGATAACGCAAGCGAATATTTGGATACACTTCCTATGGAATTCAAACCACTCTTCCATTACCCTCATCGAGATTTGAAGTCCAAATCGAATGACTGATTCTGTGAATCACTCTATCTAATCTATCACACGCCCCGTGCCTTTATTTTTGTCTGAAACCCCAACCTCTCGCTCGCCAAGCACTATTCATAATCAGTTTCCAAATTACCCTCTTTTCTTCCTCAAAAGTAGGAAGTCGGGGTTATATTCACTATGTTGTCACCTGTTCCCGACTTTCATACCTCGGTTTCTCAAATCGAGGATGCCAGCTTGTGTGACTAAAATTTCGATTCCCTCCTTTCAAACACTACTATTATTTAAAAAACATGCATTGCTCTCAAAACAGTAACGATCCCCGTACCTTTGATATCCTACGCTGTAACATTAATGGCCAACAACTGGCTGAGTCACGTCTCGGACACTCTTCCAACTCTTTCTCTAACACAACATCCCTATCCCCTCTAAGCTTATCGGGCCACTGCCTCATTACCTTCCCCACTCATTTCTCTCGCCCCGTTTCATCACCTTCGGGAGTGACGATTCAACCAAATGGGATGGTTTTCGTGAATTTCTGACTTGCTATAATTGGAACGGCTGGTGTTCGAAGTCTGTTTTTCCATTTCGGTTTCAAACCTCGCTGAAATGCTTCTTTATATTTCATACTTTTCCGAACCCAGCCTTCTCCGATTTCCTGAGTGGTTTAATCATTCGTGCTGTCATGCGGTATCAGCGTCCCGTCGTTGGCGCCCCTCACCCAATTCAACCTCCTTCACTTTTGCAATTTGTCTAGTTCCATTGTTTGTGAACTCCAGGAAAAGCGGAGGTCCTCGATTTCCGGCCTGCCTCCAAATCCGTCTTATCTAAATACTCGATTTTTCAACTCTCATTCCGCATATCCTCTTATAATAACCAGAAAGATTCGACAAACTGTTAGTGGAGCCACTTTATTTCCTTTCTTCTTTTCCACTTAATTAACTTCCATAACTGGTCGCAGGGACCCCCTGCCGATGACGTTAGCTATAGTTTACCCTATCCCAACAATTCTGTTCGCCCCACTACCCAGCTAGGTATCTTATAACTCAACGAGTGGCGTTCTGCACAAAACTTTTTCATGAAATCATGTTTTATGTTCTCTCTTTAGGGGTAAATTATATTCTGATAACCTTGAGATGTGCCAGAAGCTAATCCCTAACGACACATCTTTCAATCGGGGAACACCGGTCAAATACTTGGCCGCTATTCCATCTGATGCGATAGGTTGTACACGACTGCATCTGATCACACTGGATCAATGCCTCCGCCGTGATTTTTCCTGGTTTATTACTCATGTGATTACACGTGTGTGATGTCCAGATAACTCGGACATTTGTCCACCACGTAGTCTCCCCACAGTTCAAGGCTCGTGATGAACTGGCTCACAAAAGACTGTCTGATACCCACTTAACTCCGCATTGTCCGAAGACATTTCAATCTCCCCTAATCACTCCATGTACAAACACGTTCAAGCACGTACATAAACATACTACACTTCCAAAGTAATTATCTTGCTCATTTAATAGGCTACCTGGACCGTATTTTGCATTTGTCCATAGCTTTGAGTTAATTGCGTAAACTTAGTGTATTTATACATAAGTTTATTTTATGGGGTATTTGGCAGATGAACTTGCACCAGGTGGTGTAATAAAGCAGTTACTTGACTTGATCACCTGCATGCATTTCTTGAACGCAAAGATCTGCTGAACTACCGTCTATAAAAAATACTCCCTCGACGTTCCCGTTTTGGTTTATACAAACATTAGCGATGCACTTTCGTGCACAGATTTTGGTTGTTGTTTTTTGGTTGCCCATTTAAATGCGACAGTAGGAGAAAGACAGGAAAGTGGACAGTAGAGTCGAAGAAAAAATTAAGAAAATGAGGGAACGCCATTAATGATGACACTAAGTGTCTCTCACCATTGATCCCGAGGTCCCCAGTCAAGGAGCCTAACCTATGTGACCAAGTTTCCTGGTTAGGGTTTTCATATCCTCATGCCAGGTCTTAGTTTGATCATCCTTGACTTTTTCCCTCGGTGAACACCGCGGTAACCCGTTCGAAAAATGCTTAACACATGCCCCAACTAACGTAATCTACGGGTATGAAACATGGCTACGCTGGTAATAAAACTATCCAAAAAAGCATGCACCCTGCCCGAATCCTCGCTTGGCAGTATAATGTTTTCTACCGCAATCCTCACACGAGGATAGGGCCTTTTTCAAGAGCTAAATCTATGACGAAGTTAAATAGAAACGGAAAGAGAGGGAACATCACTTTCCGCAGTGAAGTCGGGTGAAAAAGTGTCGTAAGCCCGGACTTGGCTGTTAGTATAAAGGGATTGTAATATTGAAATAAACTTCTCGGGCACTTCTTTCGGGGAAAAACAGCGCCAGAGGTTAGAGCGGCGGAGTGAGTCGAAGACCACTTTTAGATTGAAGAATGCATCTCTTCTTGGGTGAGTTGGCATTATGGATTTTAGCCAACATCGCTAGATGATCTACTAGAGGTTCATATACGCAGAGGTTGACTTTTCGTCCGCTCGCTGTGCAGGTGGGAACCCCGCGGTGTTAGAAGTTGCTCAGCAAAGAGTATTTGGGAGGCTCGGTTATCGCATGAAGTGACCATTGATAACCCAAGACATCCACACCCCGATCAGAACGAGGCTTACGGAATGNAGCCAATCAGTTAAAGGATCTTCCGGAACCATACCCGTACTTTATAAGCCTGATGCAGATCTGTATTTTGTCTCAATGTAGAGATAACGAAATGAAAACCATATTTATGCATTAACCCGTTTTGTGTGAATATATGTGTTCGTTTTTCAAACAAATTGAAATACATTCGGAGACTGGATGATTAATCATGGTTAACGGATCAATCTCTCTTCTTCTTCTTCTTCTTGTTCTCCTAGAGGAAGTGATTAGGGAAGAAACCGATGAAAGCAGTGTTACACTATCCTCCATGTGCTACGTGACTAAATAAAAATCCGACTAGATGGATGGATTTCGGCAAATACTACTCACCTTCGATTTCCGATTCCCACTGGAAAATGTGGAGGCTTTGATAAAACGCACCTCGGAGCCGGAGATGCACATGTAGTACGGTTTCCAAGAAAACGATTTGTTGGTCTGGGGGAAATGAGAGCAAAAGGGAAACGATAGGGGTGCTACGAGAACGATCGGAAATGAGTAAGCATCGGATCACGGGAGGCAGTGTAGAATGAGAACTCAAGCGACTGGTTATGGGAACTCCCGGGGTGTGTGCATGTCTACATGTGTCTGTGTGTGTGTGAGTAGGATAGGAACATGAGCGTAAGCACAAACGCACGTAGAACACAAACACACGCTGGGTGAGTAGGGTGGAGTACATGCGATAGAACGTAATGAAATCAATTTCATTCACTAAATTCAAGGGATGATGATGATAATGACAGACTGCTTCAGTGAATGGGTACTTGGGCTGAATGGAAAAAGAATAGCAACAAGAGATACACACGGAGAGTCGCGATGCACTTAAGACGAACGAGCACAACTTACCGATCCGTCGAGGGCCAGAATTTTGCACAGAGACTGACGTGAACGAAATGAACCGTTGACATCG